GGGAAAGAGCCTGATGAACTTAGGAGGAGGGGGAGAAGAAATACTTTCCTTCCACTATCTGTATAAAGATGCTAAGAAAAATGTAAAGATGCTAAGAACTTAAAGGGCACAGAAATAAGTGAGGATAGTAAGAGCAGAGAACACTGAGTGGAAATAAATGACACCAGAAATGAATCAGGTACCAGATCATGCAAGACCTTTTAAAGCTAGGTTAAAAAGTCTGGATTTTATTCTCTGAGGAAGGAGTCATTAAAGATTTAAGCATGTGGAAGAAGAGAACTGCATTTCAGGTCAAATTCAGTCTACCTAAGACAGAATTAAAGAGTGACAAAATAATGACAGAAGGGCAAGGCAGAAGACGGTTACAAAATGGGAGCAAATGGTCCCCCCATCAAGAGCAACAGGAATGAAGAGAACAGATGGGTTCTGAAAGTAGAATCTACAGTGAGAAAGACTAATTACTGAACTAGCCCGTATCTTTCTCTTGAATTCCAAACTTGAATATGCAACTGTTTACTCTCCACATCTCTGCTTGGATGTCTAACGGGCACTTCACATCCAAGATCAAACTCTGACATATGCACACCTGCTTCCTTATCTGTTCTTCCAACAGTTTTCCTCATGTGAGAAAATGGAAAGGCTTTCCTGCAGTTACTAAAATGTTACTTGAATGTTTCTCCTATTTCTTTCACAACTACATTGAATTTATCAGTAAATCTGGTCAGTTCTAACTCTAAAATAGTCACCCCCCAGCTACTACTTCTTTCTGTAGTTACCATTTTTTCTTACATGGGTCATTAGTGATTTCTAACTAATCCCTTTGTTTCCAGGCTTCATCAGCTGCAGTCTCTTGACAACAATGCAGAATTATGTTAAAACACTGGCAAAACCTTCCCTTGCCTTATTCAGAAAGCAACCCCCTCACAGTTTTTCCTATCATCATTGCTTTCTTTTTTTCTCCTCCAAAGTACTTACTCCTTATGTATTATAAATTTGATACTATCTTTTTCCACTAGAAAGTAAGATCCTTAGGGACCAGCAGTTGGTGTAATGGTTATGACACTGAACTCCCACATAGTCTATGGCAGTTCAAGCCCTGGACCCGGTGGCTTAAAATCATGCTGGGTGTGTGTGTGTGTGTGTGTGTGTGTGTGTCCAAGATCCCGAGAGGAGAACGGAGGAGAAGGGATTGCGGTGTGGCTGCCCCCCCTGGGGAGGAAGGGGTGATTTCTCACTCTCTGTCTCTCTGTCTCTTTTTCTGGCAAGTACATGTACCCTATAGCAAAAACCTCTCAAAATTTAAAAAAAAAAAAAAAGAAAGAAAGAAAAGAAAAAGAAAAAAGAAAGATGCTTAGAGACAGCAACTCTGTTCACTATTGTATCCTTAGCACCAAGAATAAGGCAGCATGAGCTTTTAGGTGGATGACTAGAAGGTTACTTATACAAAACTGCAGAGCAAACAAGAGACAGTCAGGTTTAAACTGCCAGGTAGATGCTGCTGTTCCTGTTTATTTAATTCAGCAACAAATGGGAAACCAGGTTGGACTGGTCTATACTTGGAATACATTCCCAGTATTTAAATCTCTTCTTTATCTTCTTACACTGGTTAAAATTTTTAGATAGAGGCTATAAAAATGTTAGTGGGGTTCATTTCCTTAACCTGGCCAAATGACAATTCTCTACTTTTTAGAAAATAAACGTTTGTACTTATCTTTATTGCCAAATGGCTAGACTCTAATATTTTCCCTTAAAAATATTAATGCCAGGGGATAAATATGCATATACTAGAAGAGGAGAGGGAGAGCGAGAAAGGAAAGAGAGAGAAAGCACCCTCCTTCCCCAATGGGGTCTAGCCATGCTACAATCCTCTTTCCTTCAATTCTCCATCTTAGAATTCTGCGCTTGATTGCATGTGCCTTTCATGTTTTTCAAACTGCCAGGGCCAGGCTCAAACTTCTGTTGGCCAAGTGGGATCTAGTTTTCTCTTTGGAACACTGAAGTGCTGTAGGGTGGTGCTAGCTATGGACTCTAATACTTAATCAGTCATTTGTTTCACATCATCACTATCCTTTCACATTCTAAAACACTTTATAATCTAGGTAAGGAAAAAAGTAAAAGATGCAACAGTTTTACATTTAAATAACATTTTCTGACTACCTAATAAGCACTGCATTAACAACTTTTGGTTTCAGTTTCTTATATATATTTCTCATGTTAGTCACACACCACCACCACCGCCACCTCTCCTCACTTAACCACCTACGTATTTAATGACCAATCAGATTTCAGTCACCCAAGCTGACAATATCTCTGCAAAATATTAGCATGCCAAGACAGGGCAGGTCCTCCTGCAGGGATCTGGGGCTTAAAATCATGAGTCCAGGTTCTGCACTCTGGCTTCACCACAACCAAGTCGCTGAACCCCACTATGATTTAGATTGCTCATTTATGACACAGGGACACTGGCCCTCCAAGTGTAGTTATGATAATGAAATGAG